ATACAACATCAAGTTCGTTTCTTTTACATCCAGATTTTGTGTAATACCTAGGAGAAACAACTGAGGCAGAAAAGTAATTCTTCTTTTAAAAATTTGCTGTAAGTTCCACCACAGTTTTATCCAAAAGGCCTTGATAACCTTGCAAGTCCACCACATATGAAAAAAGGTTGCATCTTGTTGTCCACACCTCCAACACTTGGATTCATAATTCTCGTAAATGCGAGACATAGTTGCGGGGTCCAGGTGCCATCTATAAAACATTTTATAAAAATTCTCGCGTAGATTTTGAGCTTGCGTAAACTTCACATTTCTCACCCATATCAACTCCCAAGTATCCATAGATATTGTTTCTCCTATATTTTGAGCCCATTTAATCATGCAATCTTTAACTAGCTCAGTTTCTGAATCCAGTTCTAATAGAACATTATATATCCTTCTAATGTGTCCTTTAGCACCGTCCCTTACTTGTTTCAAAAAATTCCCATCTTCCATGGAAAAAGTAATTTTTTTATCAATTCGCCATCTCTCTTGAATTTGTCTATACACAAGCCAAGAAAAGTCTGGATTTTTCTGTTTCAAAACTTCTATTGATTTCAGGCACCAGTTACCACTGCCACTCTGATATAACAAATCTTTATAAGATGGCACCTCCATCACCACATATCTAGGTATTGTCAAGAAAATATGTGATGGTATCACCCAGATTGGAAGTTTAACATCAAACTTAAAAAAATACTTTTGCCAGACTCTTAACAAAGCAGCCCTTATTATATGATTTCTAAAAGTTTTGTCAATCTTTTTCTGCATAAAAAGATAAGCATGCCACCCAAAGTACAAGTCCCAGCCTTCAACATTCAATATCCTTTTGTTAGACAAGTTAATCCAATCCGTCATCCATGTTAATGCACAAGAGTCATAATAAAGTATCAAATTTGGTGCTTTAAGTCCTCCACGTTCTCTAATGTCTTGGATAATCTTAAATCTAACCCTGGCTTTCTTGCCTTCCCAGATGAAACGGTTCAAATCTCTTTGCCATTCTTTCAAGTTAAGTTCATTTTTTAGAATAGGTAGCATCTGAAATAAAAAAAGAAACTTAGGTAAAATGTTCATTTTAATGGCCGCAATACGACCCAGCAAGGAAAACTGCAGTTTTTTCCACATTAATAAATCCTTTTGTACTGATTTCCACAGTCTTTCGTAGTTATTCTGATACAATTTCATGTTAGAAGAAGACAAAAAAATTCCCAAGTACTTAACTTTATTAACCACTTCAAATCCTGATATTTGCGTAAGTTGATTTTTATCTTTAGCCGTCATATTCTTTGTAAGAATTTTAGTCTTGTTAACATTAATTCTAAATCCAGCCACCTTACCATATTGATACAGCTCTTGCAACAAAGATTCCAATGACTCAATTGGTTGAGACA